GTGCTGAAATCGGTTCATACGAGCGGTTAAGAGACACCTTCATAAAATGTTACATCATGTTTATAATGTTTTTCTTAGTAGATTGGACTAAAAATGCACGAAATTGGTCAAAATCTTTTCGGCGCCCATATGATCAAACTTTCATAAGTATGTTTTGATTTTAAAAAGGGTATTTCACATTTTTCAAAGCTTAATTATTATGTTTGGTACACGGTAACTTAATTGGATACCAAAAATGTGCGCAATCGAAGCAAAATCTCTAACTTACTTATGACTTACGAATTACAACAGTAGCACTTGGTTGTGTCCGAAGCTTGCTTCCTTATTGTACTTATTTCAAATTGTTGGCTACATTTAGGGTGATGTTAACCTAACCTACAACCATGAGTTAGAGCTTGACATAAATTTCAATTCTTCGATTACGATATTTTAAAATAGCAATCACAATTTGCTAACAGTTTTGAAAATCTTCGGATTGTAATTTATTACAAAAATAATCAAAAAAAGTTTTCTTGAAAAAAAAAAAAATTAAATCTATCCTATTGTACAGTATTTTTAATAAATATGTCGCTTACAACTTTGTGATTTTATTTGTACCGGAATAATACTAGAATAAATAGTTTCTAATATTTCAAAATCTCTGATACATACTTATGAATTCTGTCGTACATATTTATATGCATATGCTTACAAGCTTACGTAAGATTTCTATGTTAAATATATTTAAAACGGAACAAAGCAAAACAAATTATACTTCTAGATACATACTTCAAATATGTCGACTAGTTCCCAAATAAATTACAATATTTTAGTGCGCATACAAAGATCATATATATGTACCTAAGTACGTACTTCCGAATCTATAGATTACAATGGATATTCGAAAGGTATATAAATATGTAATGACTATATAAATGCTTTCAAAAAACGACCACATTCGATAGATATTCACAAGCGATTGTCTGAGTAAATACTTGCCTACGAGTATATGTGCATGTATGTATGTTTTTTGGTGTAAGACTATGTTTTCTGCCTTAGTCTTGAGATATATATCTAATATTTATAAGTAAATCCATATATAAATATTTACTTAAAAGCAATTTATCTAATGCGTATATATGTATGTATGTACATAGGTATATATTTATATATGTATTCAGAGGTGTGCAATATATGCGGTCAGATTACGGTACAATTTGTTCTTTGTGATGTTCAGCAGAGCATTAATAATCGCAACTCAGATCTATGCCTAATCGTGTACATTTTTGGCCTTTGAATATATCAAATATGTACAAGTTTGTGTGTATTTACAAGTATTTGCCGGTGATCTGTTGATTCACGTTTCAAGCAGAAAGTGTACATTTGTTAAAAATCTGTTACAAAACTTTTTTTTGTGGTTATGTTGATTTCAAAAGAAAGAAAAGAAAAAGAATGAATCTGTCGATTGAAATTAATTGATATAGACCTAGAACATTACAAGAAAATGTTTTACGTAATTTTGAGAAAAATTGTGGAATTCACAATAGTTAACCATATTAAAGTGTGGGCTCGTTCCGATTTTGTATCCCCGACTAATATGCTCAGGCAGAAACTTTAGATTTATTTCCCAACTGAAAATAATTCAGATAGCTGCTTGGCTGAATTTTTTGTTGTACTTGTAGTGGGCGTCTTAATATTATTCCACAAAAAGAGCTTAGCCGAAATTTTTAAGCTGATTCCAAATAGCTGATGGGTACCTCCAGTAGCTTGAAACTGATTGTATATTCCGTTCGTTTATAGAAGTGATGTAAATACATCTTTGTTCTAAATTTCCCATAAATCACTTTACGCAGATTCATTGGATATCAAGGTTTCATTACGGTGAGTCACTCTTTCCGAGTTTAACGTTCTTCTTCGCTATTGGTGTGGACATCGTTTATGCGATTATAGTCAAGCTAACAAAAGTGTGTCAGTTGTTTCTTCTTTTCGCTATTTGGCTCCAATTAGAGATACCAAGTGCAATCAGGTCCTTCTACACCTGATCTCTTCAACATAGTGGAGATCTTTCTCTTCCACTGCTTCCACCGTCGACTACTGCAACAAATACTTGCAAAGCTGGAGTGTTTCAATGCTGATAACATGAATTATCCAGCGTAGCTGCTGCCGCTTGATTCGATATGTCAATGTCGTCGTGTATCTCGTACAGCTCATCGTTCCATCAACTACAGCATTCGCTGTTTCCAATGCGCAAAGCACCATAAAGCTTTCGCAAAAACATTTTCTCGAAAACTCCTAACGCCGACTCATCAGATGTTGTCATTGTCTATGACTTGTAGAGTTTGGTCTTTGTTCGTCGGGAGAGGACTGCATTGGATTTCAATGTTGACATTGTTGTTGGTGCTAATGCTGAAGTGAGTTTGAACTAATTCTATAAAATATTTATTATAGTATTTTCTTAAAGGTCGTAAAACTCAATTTTCTACTGGGCTGGCTTTAAGGTACTAGTACAAAGTATTCATTTGTAAGTATTCGAGATGCTCAAAGATAACCCAAGCATATTGCAATAAAACACATTTGTTCATGAAAGTAGGCGATTGATGAAAAGGGATGCCCGAACGAAAGCCGAGCACCACACTCAAAGGCGAGTGGGGTGAAAATTTCGAAAATTCAAATTTAACTGCAATTCAAGAACATTTTAACCTACAATACACACACTTACACACCCATACATAGGCACGAACTTACATTAGTGTTTAATACGAAATTTTATTGCGTTTGAATGCCTTCAACTAAGTCTCGGTTTTTGCTCAAGTATTAGTTGCTGTGGCTGTAACTGTGTTTGTAACTGTGATTGTAACTCTAAATGGAATTGTAATTATTCCAGTATCTTTATGCTACCGACGGCTGCGACTTGGATATCAAGTTTTATGGATGGAGCAGGCGAAATCATTGCCCAAAAACTTAGACAAAAGTATTTACATTTACGACAAAAGGCGCTGAAATATTTTTCCACTTCAACGACAAAAACAACAACAACCAGCACAAAAACGAATGGTGGTCGCACGAGTTATTAATACAAAGTAAGGAAAAAAACGAAGGGTTCCAAGCGAAAGATACTTACTCTTATTATTATTTCGGTCGGTTGGAGGGGTGAAGTGCAGTTGTTGATAAGATGAGTTTTGTGGCGCTGCCTCTGGTGTGGGATTTTAGTGACTACTCTTGAATTTTTGACTTGGCTGGCGTTTTGGACGTTTTCGGTGGATTGCTTTGCTGGCTATTATCAGCTAGCAGCTGTTGGCATTGTACAATATGGCTGGCAATATTTAAACGCACACACACACATACGCGCACATGTATATAAAATTTCATTTATTAATGTTATAATTTTATAATATTTTATTTCTCGCTTGCGCTTGGTTGATGTCTGCGCGGAGATATGAAAACTTTTAATAATACCCGTTCATTTTGCAAATGCTAAAATGAATGCCTCAATTTGAGTGTGTCGTTAGGTTTGCTGTGCTGCGGCAGCGCGTAGTTATGCCAGTAATTACGCGTTTCAAATAAAATAAAATGAAGCGAACGGCACTAAGCTGATAGATAGATAGATAGTATATGCTTATACATATATAGGTTTACAAAGAAACCCTCCACATTTCATTCCATTGTATGTATGTGTATTAGTGGTTGAAAGGTGGCATTAGCTTGCGTAAAGTCAAGCGTTTGCTTGAGCGCGAGCGGCAACAAACAAACAAATAAACAGTCAGCCGAAGAGTAGCCGTGTGAAAGTGGAAAAAGTTGTACGAATGTGGCATGGGATGCTTTCGGTTTTTTGACATTCTAAATTTTTAATAACAAAATTGAATGTCTAACTACTGCCAGCGCCGGTGCTGCTGCCTTAGTTGCTGATCGCGTTGCAGATAATGATGAATGAATGGAATAATATTAATGAGTGCTTTTGCGCTAACAATTGAATGCTCTATGCATGCATTTATGTATGTATGTGTGTATAACTTGACGGCTGTGTGCCTTTGTCTGGTTGCTTAATGCACAGATATATCCTGCTGGGCCGAACAGTAGCTGCTGATTTGATAACGCACGCGAGGCGTATTATGATACAGTTTGTTATACATATATAATGGTTATGATGACAGTTAAACGTGTTGGTGGTAGCTATGCTTTTTAGCCACCATATACAAGTATTTATATTTAAATACATATACATATATGTACATGCAACGGTGATTTTATAGTAATTGCGAGCGCAGTCGTTATAATATAACAGTTATTTTCGGTTTACTGGTAACACTGTTTTCTCATCCATCTCTTTAAATGATAGGTCCTCAGAAGGATTCTTCCAAAAATCCGAACATTCAAGTTTTTTGTCTGGTGATATAGGCTGTCTGTTTCATTGCACAAACATACATGTATATGTAGTAAAAATACATAAACCTTGATACTAAGGACAGTTCAGTTTAAGTTTTGATTCCATAAAAAGAATGGATTAGCAACCATCTGTTAGTTAAGTTTTGCTAAACTTTACCGAAAGAAGGAGTCTTGATTAGTTTCTAACCAGAACATGAAATGACAGCTGTTAATATTATATTAATATCTATAAGAAAAATTAGCTTCATAGACGGCGTTCAGAGGAGAACTATTTTGTCGCTCATTTTCATTATATTATATATTGAGTATATTTGCTTTCATAACAATAACATTTAAATTTCCGAATATAATGTAAATGCCTTTATGAAAGGAATTAAAAAAAAAACAAATTTCGAATTGCGTAGGAGCGAGCTGTTATGGAAAATAACATAAAGTGTGCCACCCGAACACAAGCGGCACAGTTTCTTCGTATTTCCTCGTTGTCTCTACGCCTATGAAAATCGATTTGGGCGACAAAAAGAGTCCTCGTTTGAACATGCACATATTTAGCCCATGACGTTTACACAGTTTTGCGGGTTCACAAAGCAAGTTTTGTAAACTGTTTCCCCATGCATTCACAATGATTAAACTATCTGTAGGTAAGCCAACCACAACTTGGTGAAAACGTTTCTATTAGTTAAAGCCATCATCCAGTTAAGCTACCAGAGGTCAAGTATAATAATAAGCGAGTATTGAGTAAACGACACTAAACGGTTAATTAGTTTCAAAGCACGTGTGTTTTGTGTGACTTTTAAGTGAATAATAGTAGTTAAAATTAAGTGGTTATCATGTAATTTTGAGATGGAAAATTCGGAGAAAAATCCAAACAGAATCGAAAAGCTTCCTTGTTTGTTCCCGAATACTTGTATGTATTTGCAAAACATGGTAAAAAAATACTTTCAAAAGCTTAAGTTAGACAAGTGGCCATTAATAACTTTCAAATTTCGTGTTCTCGAAAGTAGTTTCGAGGGAGAAAAGAGTCCTTTAAATTAAAATATAAATATTGCAAACTAACACAAAATAATCTTTCAAAATATTTTCAATTAGAGCATTATTTTACACCGAAAAAATCTGTTTCAAACCAACTAGAATTGGTCCTTCCGGGCCACCCTATTATCTCTCTCACATCCAATAAATAAAACAATTAATTTATTGTGTGCATTAATTTTTAGTTTTTTAATTTTTTAATTTTTTAATTTTTTCAAGTCATCATTCTTTAACAGGGTGTACCTTGGTTCCTTGAGGATTAGGATCCGCTTCTACCATATTGTATGACATCAGTAGGATAAGACCCAAGAAAGGAGCGACTAACTTAAGGAAATGCATTTTCTTCGACCTGGTTTGTACGCGACAGAATTCGTATGAAATTATTAGTATGGGGGAACTTATTTTATACTCGTATATACTCGTAACGCAATAAAAGTTCTTTGTAAGTATAAACAGCGTATAACAGCGTCATAATGGCAATTTGGTATGCTACACTTACATATTATGATTACCACCATAATCTTAATTAAACACATGCCTCCCAATTATTCACGCCTCTATGAATACTTGTTTTATATAATATCTTCCGATCGTTGCCGATTTTGAAGACTACCTCAATTAAAATTTATAAAACGAGATTAGTATTTTTAAATTACCTACGAGTAGTCGTTAAGTTTTTTGGATATATGGCACTTTTGGATTTACCTTACGAGCAATCATAATCATAAGATTAAATTTTCATTGCTTAAATGAGAGTTGAGAGAAATTTTCACCAGCCCCAGAAAACTTGTTTAGTTTGTTTTTGTTGTTGCAGCCCAAAATCGTTCGTCTTGAGTATGGGAAAGAACTTGCGCTGCGATCTCCTTATTTGACGTACATTGCTAACATATCCAGTTTAACCAGAATTATTTAAGATGACCTATCTAGGGATTCAGGTAATATTTTAAATAGGTAATAAGAAATTCCAGAATGTGTTATGAAATTTTTAAAAATAAATAATTAAGTTAGAAGCATATCACTTCCATATTAACATATAAATACTAGTAACGTATAATATTTATTGATTCATAGATTTTCTACGCCTCTTTTGTATGATTCTTATGTGTATGTATTGTTGTTTTAAAAAACAGTTTTTTATGCTTAAATTAGCGTGAAAATCATGTTGTACTATAAATAAGACAAGCTTTTCAATAAAATTTCAGTTGATTTGAAATCAAGAAGCTGAAAATGAATTTCCTAAAGTGTATTGTTCCTTTGCTTGGCATGTTTTTATTGATGTCATCCAACATGGTAGAAGCAAATCCTGATCCTGAAGCAGCTATGGATGTAACCGCCCCGTTTGGAGAGTGATGAATAAATGAAAAAATAAAAAAATTAATATTTATTGCACAAACCAAGTCATTTGTTTTATTCAGTTGATGAGTGATTTGTTAAACTAAGGTCTAAAGCGGGAGATATTCTGTGCAAAGTATCATAGCAAACAGCTTCGAGGTTTATAATCTACACTTGACCTGAAAGTACAATAAGTCGGAACCTCGAGGATATTTTTACGTACCATAGAAAAATTTGTTGAAGAGCTGATATTCATAACCATATAAAATTAGAAAAGATGTTACAAGTGCATTTAAAACGAAAGTGAAAGTCGTGACATCTAACTTAGAGTGAATATCGGTTAGAGAAATTGAAGGTTGCTTGCTGGTATAGACACAGAGCAGCCTTTTTTTAATAATAATAAAGTTTGTTGAAGTTACGGTGGATCACCTATTACTTCTTTCCTTATTTGATATATATATGTTATACATAATAATCAAAAGGTACTCAAAACTAATTACATACAAAATAGTTTTGCGATCACGTTTAACTTATATTTATTATAGCTATATTGATCCGATCTAAACAATTGCTTCGGAGATTATACCGTTGTTTTGGATAATAATGCATGCCAAATTTGGTGAAGATATCTTTTGAAATAAAAATGTTTCCATACAAGAACTTGATTCCGATCGATCAGTTTGTTTGGCAGCTATATGCTATAATAGTACGATATCGGCGGTTCCAACAAATGAGCAGTTTCTTGGATAGAAAAGAACGTGTGAAAATTTTCAGATCGATATTTTAAAAACTGAGAGACTAGTTGGCATATATGTAGACATACAGATGTACAGATGGACATGGCTAAATAGACTCAGCACATCACTCTGATCATTTAAATATATATTTGATAGATTCTCCGATGTTCTTCTCGGTATTACAAGCTTCGTGGCAAACTTAATGTACCCTGTTCAGGGAATAATGAGGAACTGCACACATTACTCGATGAAGATTATTGCTAAACACTAGAAGAACTCGCAGAATCTTACCCCCTGTGACTACCATTTGTTCCGGTCGTTGCAAAACGCTATCACTGGAATACGGTTTGACTGTATCAGGCTATCAAATTGGGTCGATCTGTTTTAGCCCCAAGACAAATTCTTTTAGGATGGAATACAAAATTGCCAGAAAGATGGGAAAATGTTAAGGCTACAGATGGCCAATACGTTGAATATTACTATAATATAGGTTTTCTTAAATAAACATTGCAATTCAAACAAGTAAGGAAGCGCTAAGTTCGGATGTAACCAAAAATTGTATACTCTGCAAAGTCAAAAGGTTACTCGTTTGAGAAAAAAATTTTATACTTACTAACCGACATATTCGGCATAAACTGGTTAGTAGTTGTGAGTTCCAAGCTGGAAGTTAAGGGTAGTATTAACTAATTTTATTATTGCCAATACCATGTACTAATAACATGCCACAGACTAATTAAATACTCCCTGTTTCATTAAGGTACACATACCATCACCAATCAAATTGAGTAAACAGACAAATGTTCGAAAATCCTTGATATTAGTTACATGGGGGTAGGTAAACTTTTCCCGATTTAATATATATTATTGCAGAAAGATACCTTGTTATGAGTAAAACACGTTCTCTCAATTTCATTGAGATAACTCCCATATTGGCCGATATATGCGGTATAATCACACCCGGCAGTTCAAAAATCTTTATTTTAGGTATATTGGGTTGTAGGAAGTATTGATCCGATTGCACCCATTTTTGACACACAAAATATACTATTATCGAGGGTTCCATTTATTTATTTTATTATATGAATTTTAGTTATTGTTATATCTTATTTTATTTAAAATGGTGTTATATGGGAAATAGGCGTGGTTGTAATTCGATTTCGCCCATTAACATACCTAAAAGTGGGCGGTGTAACGCCCACTGTCTAATTTTGAACGCGGTTCCTATAAAGTCATCTCATACCATCCCTGAGATAAAATTTAATGTTTCTGCGTGTTTAGTGCTTGACTTATCGCGCTTTTAGTAGTTTTAACAGTACCGTTATATGGGGAGTGGGCGGAGTTGCCAACGACTTCCACTATTTTCACACCGTCAATAGAAGTGCTAAAAAATTTGCTTCCGGAATTTTGTTATTATAGCATTAGCGATTTAGGAGATATGCACATTAAAACCTATTAGGGGCGGGACCAGCCACTTTAAAGAAAATGCAAACTGCAGATGTCCTTCCTAATGTGATCCTGCATACTAAATAACAGTCTTGTATCTTATTGTTTAGCTGTTATGTCAATTTATTTGTTTTGATTAATGGCGTTTGTGGGCGTGGCAGTGGTCCGATTATGCCCATCTGCAATACTAACCATCTTACAACAAGAAACATGTGTACCAAGTTTCATAAAGATATCTCAATTTTACTCAAGTTAGAGCTTGCACGACGGACGGATGAGGAGACGGACGGACAGACAGTCACCTGGATTTCAACTCGTCTCTTCATCCTGATCACTTATATATATAACCCTATAACTAACTCGATTGGTTTAGGTGATACAAACAACCGTTAGGCGAACAAACTATTATCTCTGTAGCAACAGGTTGAGAGAGTATAAAAGAATGAGAGTAAAAATGTTCAGTTACACCGAACTTAGAACTTCCTTACTTGTTAATTTTTCATGTTCCATGAAAACTTACTCAGTTCCAAAGGACTTTAGGTAAAATTTGGCCTAGTTTTCCCACTGAAAGTTTTTGAAAGCTGGTTTTGATCACCTAAAATACATAATCGGTCACACAACAGGTTAGCTGAAATGATATTATTGAATATTTGATATTTAAGGAATCTTTCAGAATGCTTTAAGAATTTTTAAGAAAAAATTAAGTTAGAAGCATATCTTTCCATATTAACAAATAAATACTAGTAGCGATATATGTTATTGATTCGATTTTCTACGCCTCTTTGTATGATTTATGTATGTAGTGTTGTTTAAAATCAGTTTTTATGCTTAAATTAGCGTAAAATCTGGTTTACTATAAATAAGACAAGCTTTTCAATAAGATTTCAGTTGATTTAAAAATCAAGCTAAATGAATTCCTAAAGTGTATTGTTCCTTTGTTTGGATGTTTTATTGATGTCATCCAACATGGTAGAAGCAACTCTGATCCTGAAGCAGCATGGATGTAACCGCCCCGTTTGAGAGTGATGAATAAATGAAAAATAAAAATTATATTTATTGCACAAACAAGTCATTTGTTTTATTCAGTTGATGAGGGATTTGTTAAACATAGGTCTAAAGCGGGAATATTTGCGTAAAGTATCATAGCGAAACCTTCGAGGTTTATAATCTACACTTGTTCTGAAAGTAAGTCGGAGGCCTCAGGATATTTTACGCACCATAGAAAATTGTTGAAGAACTATAAAACCAATAAAAAAAAAGATGTTACAAGTGACATTTAAATGAAAGTGAAAGTCGTGACATCTAACTTAGAGTGAATATGTGTTAGAGAAATTGAAGGTTGCTTTTGCTGCTATATCTAATAATAATAAAGTTTGTTGAAGTTACGGTGGATCACCTATTACTCTTTCCTTATTTGATATATATATATGTATACATAATAATCAAAGGTACTCAAAACTAATTACATACAAAATAGTTTTGCGATCATATTTACTATTTATATTTGTATGAAATTTATACCGATACAATCTGAACAATTGCTTCGGGATTATATCGTTGTTTTGAGAAATAATTCATGCCAAATTTCTGAAGATATCTTTTGAAATAAAATGTTTCCATACAAGAACTTGATTCCGATCGATCAGTTGTTTGGCTATATGCTATAATACGATATCGGCGGTTCCAACAAATGAGCAGTTTCTTGGGTAGAAAAGAACGTGTGAAAATTTTCAGATCGATATTTTCAAAAACTGAAGATAGTTGGCGTATATGCAGACATACAGATGTACAGATGGTCATGGCTAGACTCAGCTCATCACGCTGACATGAAATACAAAAATTACCAGAGAGATGGAAAATGTTAAGCTACAGATGACCAATACTTTGAATATTACGTTGTATATGTTTTCTTAAAAAAAGTTCCAACTTAAAGAAAAAACCGCACAAATATAGTTATTGGCCCAATAGTATCACCATCTTTGCTTTGTAGGCTTCTGTTGATGTTCCATACGCCCTTGCCAGGTGATAAGTAAGGCAGGCCGAAGTATTCATATATAATTTTAAATAAAATACGCAGCAGTTGTATTCAAAACACTTTATTATAAACAACTTTTCGGAGACTTTGCTAATATCCGATAAAATTTTCCAAGTGAGCTATAAATACTTAGGGCGTCCATAAATTACGTCACCCCCCTCCCATAATCATCCTATCGTCATTTCTTAATGACCTCTTTCTCCCAAATTGACGTCATTACTAGTTTGACAAAATAAAACATTGCATATTTGAGAAAAATAGGTATTATATTATTAAAACACTTGGTTATAGAACACCTTTTATTATTTTTACTTGGCAATAATCATTGATATAATATAACTTATTTTATTTCTTGATATTCGGAGCTTTTCACCTATCTTTAAATTCGGATCGTATATTCCGTATCCTCCCGATGGTCTGAAAAATTTCTTTAGAAATAATCTTTGTGTAAAATAAACTATAAAAATAAATAAAATGACGTATGACATTTCTGCTGGCAAAATTATTTATTTTTATTTCTCATTACTTTTTAAATGGGGTGTTTACCTTGATCCTTGAGGATTATGATTTGCTTTCTACCATATTTATGACATCAGTAGTATAAGACCCAACAAAGGAGCGACTAACTTAGGAAATGCATTTTCTTGCTTGATTATCGACAGAATTCGTTATGAAATAAGTAGTGTAAGAAGTTCCCCTCAACCAAAATAAAAGTTCTATGTCCTTCGTTAACAATTCCTTATCAACTGAACTGAAACAAATGACTTGTTTTGTGCAATAAATATCAATTTTTTATTTTTCATTTTTCATCACTCTCCAAACGGGCGGTTACAATCCATGGCTGCTTCAG